ACACGCCATTCGATCCACCGTCAATTAGAATCGAGCGATCTCAATGTCGATCAATGACGTGACATCGACGTGCGATCTCCACACGATCAACGGTTAAGATTCACTTTTATTTGTGATGGTCCTTAAATGATCTAGATTTATATGCATTTGATTCATGCGTACAGCCAAATCATATACCATTGTAGAAAATTCGCATGCTGTGAAATTTTGTGGGAAATTTCTCTCGATGCGCTTTGCGCATGTATCTTTCAAGCGTACGTTTGCAAGTTGATACCTGTCACCGCCGGGTCATTGTTCATGATAAAAGCGTATTATACCCGGTACTCTACGCCCCATGGTCAAACATTTGTGCCTTACTTCAAGAATAAATCTAAGACTTTCCCCATTTTAGAATTTCAGATGATAATGACGCTGTGGCCAATGATATCATCCGTCGAATTTCACTAGCTTGGTAGACGCATTCTTGTACTCCTAAAACCCTAACTTCGTAGTTGAAATGAATATCAAATAACTACATTCACCGGGGAAAAAAAGACAAAATAGACATCACCTAACATTACAATTTATGAAATCCAGCGTTAATTTATGCTCGATCTGCATTTCGCTCAAATGAAAATTACCCCAAATCCATGTCCAGGATAAGAAGTAAAGTTTCTTATTAACATATGACCGAAAAAATGGTCAGGAGATGCGATTGAATAAGTCGTCATTCGATTACCATCTACGATATTCAAATGCGAATCTCGATGTAATCTCTTACTAAGAAGAATCAGACATCTCCCATTAAGACAAGATCATATATATTTGGGATTAACATGAGGTCGTCTTAAACTCTCAAAACGCGCATGTTTGCTTTCTCGGGTCAATCTTCTGATCTCGATGCGTGCAGACAAAAGATAGAACAAGTAACAAATTAGGGTTTTAAGTTCCGAACTCTGGGGAAGACCATCAATTCTTGCAGAGCATCATCAGTGACATCAAATGGAATAACTTCGTTTTCTGCAACAAGTAAGCTTAAAAATTATTCTAGTATTTTCCTATGCAGAGGTAGAACTAGGGCTCACCTATGTTGCTGCCTCCTAATGTCTGTCATACGATGCTCAAGAAAGCACGCAACGTCTCCAAGTTTCTTGGCACGATGAGTATTGTCAAATCTCGCTACCGTGAACGCTTTGTTTTTTCGTCAAAACAACCAAATTGTTTGACATTGGGGAGCAACAGTAAGTGTTGAAATCAAAGTGCAAATGGCGAAATCATGCACCAAGTCAAAATGCTCAATCTTCCCTTATACATTTCGATTTTTCTTGTACCTCACATTTGACACTCCTTGGTCAAGGGAAGAATACATATTGGGGAAAAGATTAGGTAAATACAGCTCTCCCAAACGATCAGCCAACTGATGGCAAAAAATGGTTAAGTAATTCTCTCCCAAAAGAGACGTTTTTGAGCATGTGTGGATATTTTATCTGCAAGTGCTACATATATATGCATCCAAAGTGAATAATGGAGCCAATTAATGTTTGTTGTCCCTCTTGTGAATAGCGAAAATCTATTAATGTTCGTTGTCTTGCATTTGCCCAAACGTCCAAAGCCACAGGCATGTACAATATTGTACAACTTGCCACAAACATTATAGTCCAAGAGTCCCGTTTGGCCTACATGAGCAAGAATCTCATCAATTCTCAGTCGTAGGGCCCATGCATGCATACCCATTCGGGATAGTATGATAAGTATACCGGTCAAATCGGTGGATGGGGGTGGGGTCGAGTCGAAAATGGTCTGATCCAAATTTACGCATTTAACTCGTTTTAACCTATTTCCATACAATACAAATTTAATGTCTAATACTCGATCAAATCCATACCCAATACATACCAACCCAACCCATATTGCTAAAACATTTACATATTTAACCAAATCTAAGAAAGTCATACCCAAACCGAGGTAAGAGCGTGCAGTGCGAGAGTGCAAGATCAAGTGAAAGCAAGAGAGTCATAAAGGTGAGTTGAGTCTAAGTTGTAAACCCACTTAACACCCATATTATTTAGAGCTTTACCATTCTAAATCCATTTACCGAATACAACTAATCAATATAAAACTTAACCCATCAAATATGAGTTAAGAAATGCATCGTAGACCCATTTTGATAGTTCTACTAACAAGCTAACAAAACTAAGGCAGGACAAACTCGATTCAATTATGTGAACATTTTCCTGTTGGTCTCCACCTTCTTTTGGCTTACATGTTTGCCGGACAAGGAAACTGTCAGGGGTTTCATCATAGACTTTCAGTCATGGAAAGAACTCATGATTTCTCCTTTTGTCCAGAAGCTCACGTGGGATTGAGCTTAATAAAAGTTGTGATTCCATCAACTACCACATTGGTGCATTATTAAAGGAGCATAGTTATTCGACCCCCCCAAAAAAAAATTAGCATAGTTAGGGAATCATCACTGGTCTAATACGTGGTCAATCAGTCTCCTCATTGGCATTATACATGCTAAATATCAAATGAGACAGCCTGCAATTGGGATATTAGATAATAATGACACACAAAAAACAGCAGTTCCCTCGTTTCAGTCAACAAAGATATCTGTCATGTAGCTAATATAGACTTGGAAATGAGAGGATAGGTCAGTGGACTTGGGATTCACGGTGCCCGATTTGTCATTGCATGTCTGAATCTATGGGTATAATACGGTGTGCTTTTGCTCTTGTTAAGGCATCAGATTGGCGTGGATTGGGGACAGAGGTGGGGAAGTTCTAAAGGGTTTTCAGCGGATTTCCGATATGGGTCTGTTGAGTTTTTCCTCAACTCGAAATTATCGTGCCTGACGCTCTCAACAAACCCTAAATTTCTTATGACGAAACTTCAAATTGTTGCTCAGGGGAAAATTTATCGCGTGACATTAACTCGTGGAAATGAAATTATTATTTGCCAGTGGGAGGAATAAAAATTCTTTTTGATAAAGCTGCCATTCTATTCTTAAAAAAACATCCCTTTGTGGATAAGAAGAACCGAAAGAAGAAGATCTGCGATGTCAGGTGGAACTTGTTTATTGAGCTTCCGCTTTAGTTACACTCTCTCCCACACATGTCAAGGTGACTAGATTACAAAATCTTGCACGAGTTCCACGCAGATAAAGATAGCAAACGATGCCTTAAGTGTGTCTTGTAACTGGTTCAGGTGGGAACTGCCCATGTTTAGTAAGAAAGTTCAGAAAGCACATGGCCGAACATATGACCAGCGGACCTAATTTTGTTGTTGTCGGGGTCTATGAGAGCCTGGAGAGCTAATTATAATCAAGATTCCACCTGATCTCACATTGTTTATAACCCTAGAGCGATCGATCAGTCGTCGAAATCCTGAAACCGAGCCAGCAGATCAGTAGAATAATGGGTCTTTACTGCTCTCCTTGGTTTTGTATAATATGAACACGAATCATGTGAAGTAAGTTTGATCTGATAATAAGCACCATTTGCGTGAAGATTGGGCTTGGGGGTGCCTTTCCCTCCCCTGCTAACAAGACTGCATTCTAGTGAGAGGGCTTGAATTGGATTAGAATGAGCCCAAATCCTCAGTGGCCCTTCTGCCTGAATTGAATTAGAATGAGCCCGAATCTTTAGTGGCCCTTCGCAATGAGCTCAAACATTTTGGACCTCTATAATTGTTGGGATTGTGAAGGAAAAGCTCGAAACCTTCACTCAGGAGATCACCAAGAGAGCCCAAGTCCGAGTCTATCAACATATTTAGTTGGACTCATCTTCATTCAAAAGTTTAAGCTAATAAGTTATGGGCCAATTGATATATTAATTGCTTCACACCATACCAATTCTCCAATGTGGGAGTTTTCAACACAAATCACACATGCATCTTGATAATCTCATTTTTACGCGTGAGCTTAGTGTTAGGTCTGTTCTTCCTTAATCCAGGCATCCTTCGGCATAAAGATATCTCAACTTGAATCTCCATCAATGCCTATATCCATGGTCTCTTTCTCCATATTAAACTATGAAGTCTGCCATCGGACCCGCATTGCTACACCACAATGTCCACCACCCGAAAAATCGCGTTGGTCATCGGATTCATTCTTTGAGATAATCACCAAACACTAGAACAGATTGAAGGCACACCAATTTACCACCGGCTCTTTTTCCAGATGTTAGGATTAGGAGCACAAACATAACGAAATACAGAGTAAATGCGAGAAAGAAACATTGAGATACAAGGTTTATTTTGGTTCATCTTTAAACGAAGGCTACATCTAATAGATGATTTCACTATAATTAATACTTCCCACCTCTCTGTTGCAAATTTAAATTACTAGATAAATTGCTTTTATATAGGCGGCACAGAAAATCCTAAGAGCCGTTAAAGCCGTTAAAGCCGTAGGCTACTCAGTAGCTATTCATGAGCCCAAGCCCAAACTAACAATAAAGTACGGATCCAAACAATAAAAGCCCTCTGGTGGCCCATGAGTGCCGTCTCCTGCGACCCTCGTGCCTTCCTATCGATGGGGAGTATAAATTCACACTCAGATTGAAAATGGCCATACCTTTTTGGAACCAATTCATCACACCTCAACTTTCGGTTCCGACCCAACTCTGTATGCGAAGACGGGGCAGTTCGCACGATTCGAGAGGTTTTTACAGACTCGGGAATGGTTCGTTGAATCCGCGAATGCATCCTCTGACCTGTGAGGTCTATCATAAATAAGTCCCCTTCCATGGGGTGAGCCTCATTAATCATTACTTCCTCCTTTAATCATCTCAATGTTCTTTCAATTAATGACAGCCCAACAGCTATCATCACCAACTTTCAAGCTCAAGACCTTCCTTTATCAAAATGAACATTAATAACACGCACTTTAGTCGAGCATGACCTGTGCTGAAATTGCTGCAGTTAACAACGATCCCCCCCCGCCCTTCACGAAGCAAGAAAAAGCCGCCGCATTTTCAGGCCTGTTTTTACAGAGTCCCATCATCATCATCCTTCGGTTCCTCCACCGACAGTTGAAAAAGGAACAAAACAAAGAAGCCGCGGTAGAGAGAGAAAGAGGAGAGAGAAGGAGCGAGAAAGGTAGTGACTTTGAGCTCGATCGAACCAACCCACGATGGGGAGAGTGCGTGCGCGTCAGTGAAGAGATCCAACCGGATCGAACCTGCTGTCTTCCCTCGACATGGCCACCGCCATCTCCTCCTCCTTCCTCCTCCTCCTCACCCTTTTCGTCTCCGTTCTTGGCCTGGCCCGTTCGGCCGCCGCCGGCGACGGCTGCTCGGGCCGCCGGATCCACGTCCGCCGCCTGCCGCCGCGGTTCAACCTGGACCTCCTCGCCACGTGCGCCGACTACCCCCTCCTCGACGACCTCTGCCCGTACCTGGCCAACCACGGCCTCGGGCAGCCCACCCACAACCGCTCCCGCAGCTGGTTCCGCACCGACCCCCTCGCGCTCGAGCTCGTCTTCCACCGCCGCGTCCTGGAGCTCCCCTGCCTGACCCCCGACCCGGATCTCGCCGACGCCGTCTTCCTCCCCTACTACGCCGGCCTCGACGCCCTCCGCTACCTCTACGGCCGCGACGTCAACTCCAGCGCCGAGCACGGCCTCGATCTCTACCGCTTCTTGAGGGCGAACGATCCGGGCATCTGGGAGAGGCGCTCGGGCCACGACCACTTCCTGGTCATGGCTCGACCCGCCTGGGACTTCTCGCAGCCGTTGTCCAACGACCCTCCCATCTGGGGCACTTCGTTTCTTGAATTGCCCGAGTTCTTCAACGTCACCGCATTGACGTTCGAGGCCAGAGCTTGGCCCTGGCAGGAGCAAGCCATCCCTTACCCGACCTCGTTCCACCCCCAGGACTCCACCTTCCTCGAGTCGTGGGTGGCCAGGGTCCGACGGTCTCGCCGCACCGCGCTGATGCTGTTCGCTGGCGGGGGCGGCATCTCGGCGACCCCCAACATCAGGAGGAGCATCAGGATGGAGTGCGAAAATGGGACAGAAGCTCCAGGGTCGGACAATGGGTACTATGCGAAGACCTGTGATTTCGTGGATTGCTCGAACGGCATTTGCGAGCACAACCCTATCCGGTACATGCAGCCGATGCTGAAGGCCGCATTCTGCTTGCAACCTCCTGGGGACACACCGACGCGGAGGTCGACCTTCGATTCGCTCCTTGCTGGGTGCATCCCGGTGTTCTTCGAGGACCAATCGGCCAGGTCGCAGTACCGGTGGCATCTGCCAGAGGAAGAATTCGAGGAGTTCGCGGTGTCGATACCGAAGGAGGAGGTGGTGTTCAAAGGGTTGAGGATAGTGGATGTGCTGATGGGGATACCAATTGAGAGAGTGAGGAGGATGAGAGAGAAAGTTGTGGAAATGATACCGAGGATCATGTACAGAAAACATGGAGGCTCACCTGGTTTGAGGTCTAAGATGGATGCATTCGATATTGCAGTTGAGGGTACTCTGAAGAGGATCAAAGCAAGACTTCAAGAGGTTTCAGTTTGAGCTTCACTAATTTGGGATTGAAGTTACTACATTCTTGTGCTTGTTTGTAATTTTCTTGTTTGTTTGTTGTTGTCCCTCATTTTTTTGTCCCTCTTATTTATTGACTGCAAAAAATGCAGAAAGAACTGCATTATATGTATCTGACTAGCAATAAAGATTCAAACATATTTCCTTTATTGCAGAATTGCCCGTTGTGCAATGCGCCCTTCTTTTGTTCAAACATTGATGAACTCACAATAATGGCAGTGGAAATAGAGAACTATTACTGGGAGTGCACAATGAAAGAGCTTTTCTTTACCTGCATAATTTAGAGTGTCACTAGCTTGCTGTGTTGGAAGACCAACAGCAGCAAAATGCATACAAGAGTCGCTCAAAGTTGAAGGACAAATATACAATTTTATTTGAATCGTTGGAGTTCAAATGAACAAAATTGCTACCTCCCTAAGAGAAATTGTGAAATTTGGATGCAAGAATTCGGCGATTGCCTTGTGAAGTTGTGAAGCTTTATCCCCATCTAATGATGGCAGACCCCCAAGTTAGGCCAGCTCCGAAACCTGCAGTCGCTATCATGTGGCCCGACTTCACCTTTCCGCCACGAACAGCTTCATCCAAGGCCAAGGGGATTGATGCAGCGCTTGTGTTACCGTAATTTGCCAGATTCGAGAGGACACGCTCCTGAGGGACTTCCAAACGTGTTGCTACAGCGTCAATGATCCTCTGGTTTGCCTGCATCATCTCCGTCAGTTTCTACAGTTCTCCGATTCTTCTTTGGACAAGTGATCCATAGAATCTGACTACATCGTTTTTCACATGTATATGTATCTATGTACTCAGAATTCAAAGTAATCCATCGCTACGGTTTTGGTTCAAGAGAATGCAACAAGGACACATGCAGTAACATAAGCGATCAAAGAAAGAGAAGGATGTCATATAACTAGAGTGCAAAATTTTCACATGAGGTCCCAATCTTCTAAGGTTAAGTGAGGAATTTGAAGAATACCTGGTGAAGCAGCAGCCAGTCGATGCTAGATGCAGTAAGGCCGGCCCTCTCGAGGGAAGATTCGATTGACTGTGGCACACAGCGCACAGCAAAACGGAAAACCTCTTTGCCGTTCATCTGGATGCAGGAATATGAGGATTGCCTCGGAGGGAAATCTCTTACCGAACCATTAGTACCCAAGGCATGATCGGTCTCGTTTTCATTGACAGAAGCATTTAGATGCCTGCAAAATGGAATTTACTGTTCTAAAAACTGGTATTCCTAGCAGAAAGTGATGAAAGAGAAGAAGAAGATCATGGAAAAGAAGTACCTTTGACCATCTCCATCACTATGCAAGTCAAAAGCGAATAAACCATCCTCCTCAGCTTCACAGGCCTGAAGAGAAGTAAAGTATGAAATATTTTAGTTGCTCCTGATGTTTAATTGTCTAAAGGCACAAACAAGGTTAAGCTGAATTAGATTTTGTACAGAGTCCCTCATACAACAGAACAGCAGACTGACAGGCAGTCTGAATAAGGTAAAAGGAGGTCGGCTGCTAAGATATATGCCGTTAGCGTGTTTTACAACGCATACGTTAATGAAGGCTTGCACCTCTAAGTATGTGAATTTATTCCATACTCCTTGAATTATCAGTCCTCTAAGTTTTTGGGACAAAAAATACTCAAGAAGCAAGATTTGAGGAACCTGGATTATTCCTCTTGGATCATACATACAAGCTGGCAGGGAAATGAAGCAGCATAAATAAAACAAATTACCAAATCCTTATAAAGAGCATATGACATAGCAATGGAGACAGGCAATAGACCTAAATCATATGTGAGATATAAGTATTAAAATATTGTACAATGATGATGATGACAGTGACATTGATGAACCTTTATAAAGCGAAAGTACAATATTTCAATGCCAGAAGCATGAATATTCCTCATGCAGTCCAATACAGAAATCACCTGCATCACTACAGCACCTGCAGCATCACCGAATAAAATGCAGGTCCCTCGATCAGTCCAATCAACATAACGTGAAAGAGAATCCGCGCCAACAATTAGGACATTGTTGAACCCGCCTCCTGTAGTTTCAGGCACATTTTCATCAAGAAGATTATCGGTAATGGTAACTAGCCAAAAAAGATGTTAATCATACTGTAGATTATTCGAAAAAAACAAATGAATTTTACATTACCCCTGATGTGACAAGCAGCTGAGACCAGACCTAGCACGAACCCACTGCATGCAGCTGTTATGTCGTAAGCCAAAGGATTATTCTTGCAACCAAGTGCTTTTTGAATCTGAAATAGACATAGTGCAAAAGACTCTATTATGAGATGGTTTAGGTAAACTATTGAGATGGAAAAGACTTCTTAAAGAAGGTATCTTATAAAAGGAATGTTTTGGACTCCAGAGATGTTTGTTTAGCAAGGTTAAACCAAGAACTATCGAGGCTTGAGTTAACTGCGACCGTTCTATGGTTACACCAAGACGTAACGATCTCCCCCAATTGAATTTATAATCCTCTCTATGACTTAGCAGGAAGGATGATGGAATCATACTCAACCGAGACAGGTCCAAATGTGAAAGAACGAAGTGCACACAATGAGAATACATGCAATCGTAGAGTACCTGAGGAGCGCTGCCAAAAAGATCCTCTGGCGTAGACGTGCACATCAAGACTAGGTCCAGATCCTCAGGATCAACCTGTGCCATCTCTAGAGCTTTCCTCGCTGCCTCCACGGCCAAACCTGTCAAGCTATCCTTGCCTGCATTGACAAAATTGTGAGACTGCAGCTATCAACCTTAGAGCCACCACATACATAAGATAGTAAGATCCAGACCATAGGAACAAGACGGTGTATGTGTTTACTTAAATCCAAAGTCAAAAATAATGAAGGAAACAGAGGTGACATAAGTGGATAAGTTTGCAGATGATAGATGGATCTTCATTCACAGTTATGTAAAATCATGTCTGCATCTGATTGTACGCATCAAAACGACAAAAATAAATAAAACCAACAATCCAATCTTTCTTGACAAGGTATGTGGAGAAAGCAAGAGTGGACCAGTTCATCAAAAATTTATTAGAAGACTAAGTTTTCTTCATTAGCTTAGAACTTAAGCAGTAAATACTGGCAACATCATTTGCAAGAACCAACCTGACAGAACACGGCGATTGCGGATCCCAGTGCGAGCTGCTATCCATTCATCATTAGTGTCAACAATTTTTGAAAGATCATCGTTTGAAACCTGAAGAGTTGGAATGGCCGAGCCGCATCCAATTAACTTGCAGCCTTTACCAATGACCCTTCAAAAATTTAGTTTACACATAAAGGTTAACAAAATAAAGAACTGCTTCCTCAAAGATTAAGCTATAAATTCCAATTTTGCACTACTTGATAAAACTTCCCTCAATGTGGATGCATACTCGGCCACTTGGACACAATAAATTCTCCATTTACCTTCAAACTGAATTTGACAGCTAATGAAAATTGACAAGGCCAGTTTATGGCATATGCCGTTCCAGGTCAGTGTCCATCTACAGATGGCATGTGGCCAAGGCAGGACTAAACATTTCAGGGTTGATTGGGTTATAAGTGCAGACCTTGTCCTTTAGCAGAGAGGCATGTAAAGCATAGAAGCCCACTTCCGCGGAGCAAAGTTTATACAAAATGTAGGTCAAATGATTTGAGATGCTTAATCAGGAAACTTAACAATATAACAAGCACTTGTATCAGCTGTATGGATTGAAGGCTCTCTTTTTTGCTTATCTATCAGTATATACAAGATAAAATCTACTGTCATTTACCAACTTAATAGTAAACAACAGGAACTCAAACAATTGGAACAAAAGCTTATCATTAATCTCCATTTGTAAAGGAGCTGCATTCAGATTGAGTGAGAATAAGTACCAAGAAACATGTATCCCACCAAACTGCTTTCAGAACCTAACTTTCTCGAGTCTCCTGTACAATCTATAGAAAGAACGCCCTCACAAATCATAGAAAAGATCAAGCTCTTTCGAGAACTTTTTCGTCTCAACAATCATCTAAGCTCTTCTCATAGCATTTCGAACAAATTCAAATAGACCGAAACGCCGTCCAGCTGCCAAAACTAGCTCAACATAGTCATTGAACAATACACTCCGGTCACCATTGTCATAATGCAAGACCACTCGATCCCATAAACAAATTTAGTCTCTATTCTACTTGCTCAAATGTTCCCACCTCTTCTCCAGATATACATGCATCAGCCGCAAACAAATTAAAAAGAAAAGGCAATCCTCTAGACCATACCCATGAGCTAATCTAGCCAACATCATCGTTCTTTTTCCAATTCTACCAGGCTTTAACAGAAATTAAAAGTTTAAAAATGAAAAGCTAGGTGAAACAAGGAGACCGAAATAACAACGGATACAGCTAAACATACACCATTTTTCACCAATCAACTCTACCACAACATCCTCAAAAGCATTATTCAATTAAACTGATGCAACTCCTTGCTACTGCAATTGCATCAAGAAGCATCGTGAACGCAGACAGACCCAATCAGTACTCACTTAGGCACTCGAGATTCAGAAGACGCAACGCCCGAAGCATGCTTCTCGTTGGCGCTGCCGCACAGTATCCGCCGGAGCACGACCTTATTCGAGCAAGACCCAGATCGAGAAACTCCTATGGAAGGCTGAATCTTCATTCTCAGGGTGGGTATGGAAGGAGAAAACAGCCCAGACGCATTGGCCATTTAAAAATCACTTGGGACTCTCTCTCTCTCTCTCTCTCTCTCTCTCTCTCTGTGGGAGCAACAAACAAACACAATGTCTGCAGTGCCTCTAACGCGCACATACACCAAGCGCTGCGTGCTGTGGCGAGACAAAAGTTCGGATTTTTCCTCTCCTTCTCAGCTTATTGCGACAGAACAGGCATGCCCAAACAACCCATTACAGAGAGAGATCGACGGATGGGGGAGTAATGAAGAAACAGCTATTTGGGTCTTATAGTTGATATCATTGGAAGGTCCGAAGAGATGAAAAGGGAAGAAATAAAATATATAGGAAAGGGGGCGATTATGCCAACCCGAGTCTGAGCAAACTCCAATGCGCTCCCCTCTCTCTCTCTCTCTCTCTCTCTCTCCAAAGGGTTGTCAAGTGCGTGCGTGTGTCGGAGGGAGAGTCATGCAACGCTCCCTGAGTTCCCAAAGATGTCGATTTTCAGCAAGAAAAGCGAAAAAGGAACGATTTTTGACGAATTTATCCAACAGAGGGGAAGGGCTACGTCGCCAGGATTCACCCTCGCAAAGTCGTAGGCACCCAAAACCCGACAACGTGCCCCTTCTACGGACGGAAGTAGTTCGGGGGAGTCGATGAAGGGCAGGGCATGGAATAAGCACTCAGATCCTCCTCTTCCATGGTGAAATCTTTTGCATCTGCGTGATGTTGCCTCTCGGTTTCTTGATTGTCTACCCTATGCTCCTCCGTCGGTGTCTCGTTCGAAACGTAATTTAAGCAAACGTCATCGCACGATCGAGCTGAACGGATCAATAACAAAGACGTCCCATTTCTCGAGCAGAGATCGCGGGTTCGATTCATGAGGCGAGCAAGTCTCTAAGCGATTTTAGCGGCGCATATTTTATGCCAAGAAGCTCTATCCCCCAACCTTGAACCATGGGATCGCGAATGGGGCGGAGTCAATCCGAGTATGTCATCCAAAGTGTGAAATCTTTTACGATAATGTGCTAAGGGGCGTTAGGGGTTACCGACCCTCCCCACACATTAATTTACTCATAAATGAATCGAGCCAACATGTCAAGTGACCGCAAACGAAGGAGCGATATTTTCTTGAGCTGAAGATTAATTGCTTTGAGAACGGGTCGTTGTCCTTTGTTCCCATTCCCTTGTTTTATTCTTCAAAATCCACCATGTTATTGTCCCCTCAAATGTTTCATCCAGGTGTTCCATGTACGAGATTGTCTTCTAGATTTGACGGTGCATTTCATTGGATTTAGGATGCACTATCAAATTATTCTGTCTTCCCAAACAGTTTTTGAGAAGGAAATACATATTCATTAAGAGAACTGAGGCAGTAATTCAAAAGCAAAAAGAGGAAATCATGAGAGTTTAATGTGATCTCGACTCCATTCGTCGAACCATGTTTTGTTTGCACGATTAAGAATAGGACATTCTAATTACAATGGGGGATCGCAATTTTTCGTCGTCGTATTTCAAGGCTAGAGGTTAGTTGAGCATGAAGTTGGCTTGGTAGGTTTCTCTTTTTTAATTGGAGGTTGGCTTGGTAGGTTGGCAGAGGAGAATTGTAAGAGCTTAGAAAGAACCCCCACCACCTTGTAAGTTATACGTTATTTGACTTATTGGGTGCATGAATTATGTTAGTATGATTATAGGGTATACAAGTGTGGTTTCGTGTTCTTGACCTAGCCTTTTGTCTTCTTTTTCCTCATTTCGATATGTACAAAGGAACTTTCTTGATGAGAAGCAGTCGGACAAATGTTTTTGACTTTCCAGGGCTTGGACTTGGGTGATGATCGGATATGGTGATATGTTGAGCATGCACTAAATTACGAAGCAAGCCTTACCATTGTTTAAAGGGGTGAGCAATCGGACCATTTCAACCTAGGAACCGGCTTTATCTAGCCGGTTCAAGGCCATTTCACACGGGGACTAACTGGGTGCCCGATTCAAAATACTGAGAACCAACCTTAATTGGTTAGGTTCCCCGTTTCCATACCCCGAAACAGTTTGTTCTACTGGAAAGGTCGGTTTTATGGTAGATTCGGGAGTCGGATCAGTCTGGAATCAATTCATCCTCGGGTCCTGACCCTAAGTTCATTCTTTTTTATGATATTGTCTTGCTACCTCCGACTCTTTCTGTGTCTACTCGTTTCTCACTCTCCAGTGCCTCAACTGTAATCCAGCACTCACTCCGTTGTTGCTCACCAATTGCCACTCCAGCAGCTCGACTCCACTCCAATCGGAGTTTTTTGTATTAAAGCACAAATACACAAATGGAGAAAGAATTAGGGGAAACCTCGCAAATGCCCTTCAATCTGGAACCAACTTCTTCCTTTTATACAGCTAAAAGGATTCCCACTTCGAACCAAAAACTTGCTCCATTCATGTTAGGTGAAGCATTCTCCAACTTTGAGAATGATTTGTTGAAGTCGGTGTAGGAAGTAAATTCCAATTTGAACTTTCCTTGAGGATTTAATTGGAAAATCGATTTTACAATTAGGAAAATCGATAATATTTTCATTTATCATGAAATTTTTTAGTGAAATAAACGCACCCGAAGTTCCAAAAAAACCAATTAAAAATAGCAACATGAAGCACAATTATCATAAAAAAAAAATGGAGAATTGCAAGGCAAAGCTACCAACCAACATAAATAACAATTATAGCAAAATTTAGTAATTGAAAATCAGGTGAGGCTTGACGAGTTGCAGTCATATAGAAATCTCATGACAGCAGTACACACTATAGAAGAGAGATGGACCTCTCTTATCTTCTATAAATTGTTTAAATTCCATGTACATGTACACTAATCTAAAAGCAGGACCAACTTGGGGAAAAAAAATAGGCACAGTAATTGAGAATTAATATATTGAATCGAAAAATGGGAACTTGCTTGTAAAATTGAAAATGGGTCCGTTTGGTTCGCAAAAAAGGGAAAAAACCACCAAAAACCCCTTTGTAAATACATGACACATTTACCGAACTTTTTTGTGACACCAAAACCCGAACTTTGCTTTTTTGTGACACATTTACCTCAATGTATTTAGTCCATGGGCATTTTCGTCTTTTTGCTTTTTCTTTTTTTTTTCTTTTTTTTCCTTCCGCGAGGGGCCCTCGCCGGCGTTAGCAAGGGCGGCCCTCGCGAATCCGGCGAGGCGGCCCTCCGATGTCGGGCGAGGTTCGCCCTCTGGGCGGCGAGGGCGGTCCTCGCCGGCCAGCGGCGAGGGTGCCGCCCTCGCTCGACGCGAGGGCGGCCCTCGCAGGATCGAGCGAGGCCGCCTTCGCTCGCCCGAGCGGCGAACCTCGCCGGCGCGGCGAGGGCCGCCCTCGCTCGGCGCCGCGAGGGCCCTCGCCGGATCCGGCGATGGGCAGCCCTCACCCGACGGCGGCGAGGCCCCCTCGCCGGAAGGAAAAAAAAAAAAAAAAAAAGAAAAAGCAAAAAGACGAAAATGCCCATGGACTAAATACATATGGGTAAATGTGTCACAAAAGCAAAGTTCGTTTTTTGGTGTACAAAAAAAAGTTTGGGGTAAATGTGTCACAAATGGTAAAGTTTGGGGTTTTTGGTGGTTTTTTCCCGGCAAAAAATGAATGACTTTTGAAAACATCATCCCAAAACTCATCGCCTACGTCGATTGCAGAAATGAATGAACGAAAAATAATTCCATCGTTTCGATACTATTTAGACATAAATTGCCGTCGACAATGAAAATATTTTTTATTGACTAAAATTATTTCAAGCGATTACTTTTAGAAAAATAATTTTCAAGTCATTCATTTTTCGCGAAATAAACGCACTCTACCAACATGCAACGAACTTTGCTGCTAGAGCCAATGAGGCATGTCCTATGAAGAAATAAGGGATAATGACACAAAATGGTTCATTAACTTCGGTCCAATGTGCAATGTGGTCCCTGAATTTTAGCTAAATGTCCAATGTGGTCCCTAAACTTTTAATTTAATTTTAGGGACCACATTGCATATTTGGCTAAACTTCAGGTATAATGTGTGTCGTTTTCCTAAGAAATAAGTCATATCTTTGAATATGGACCTTTGCATGGGCTACGAGTCGGCCTTTTCAATTTTTTATATTGTGATATAAATTGGGCCGTAACATGGATCAACCACATAAACTCAGGCCCACATGAAGATAAATACCAAGATTCTGTCGCATATGATTCGGGGCTCATCCATCACCACCAATAGGAGGACGACAACCGGCGTCGCGTTGTCTGTCCGTGTCGGTAATCGCCACCCCTTCTTAATAAAACCGTTGCACTAACCTCGAACTTAATCAGAGTTAGGTACTCTTTCAAAATGTCATTAACTTTTAAGTAATATCGGTTTCAGATTGGTGTAAGGCTAGCGTTCCGTCGTGTTATCTTTAATTTTTCTTAGCATATTTTCTCGTTATTTGTTCTTACATCGGCGCATGTGGTCGTACACAGAGGTCGGGAATTGAAAATGTAGATGCAATGCTAATGCAGTATGTTTAATCATTCGTGTTCGTTACAATACTATGACTCGGCCCAAACAACTGATCTAAGAGATATCGCTCGATTTGGTCTTGTGACGTATGCTATGGAGTATTACGTAATAAATTAGGCTTTGCTCGTTCCGTGAAAAATGAGCAATTTAGAAAACCTTTTTCCTAAACATTATCGTGGGTATCACTTCAAATGATAAGTCAATAAAAAAAATTTCATTATCGACAACAATCTTTGTTCTATACATTTTTGTAGATGATGAAAATATTTTTTATTCATTTATTGTTTTAAGTGATACAAGATATCGTTTTTAAGAAAATTATTTTTCAAATCATTCATTTACCGTGAAACAAGCGCGCTCTCAACATGTCAATTAATTGGCTCATTTAGCTAGATGTTAAAACCCAAATAGCTCGTCATACAAATCCTCATTTTAGTAATGAAATCTCCATATATCCATGAATGTCAATTTAGTCATAAATTTTTTAATTCCGTCAATGTAGTCCTAAACCTTTTCGTGAAATTCCGATGCAACCGTTCTGGTCAATCTTCGCCCGAAATCACTGATGTGGCAATCCAGTCATCCCCACCACGTCAGCGACTTCCGTTGAAGACTGATCGGAAGGTCTACATCAGAATTTCGCGTAAAGGCTTAACATTAAATTGGCGGAACTAAAATTCTAGCACCGAATTGGCATTCGTTCTGTGAATTTAGGTTTTGATTGGACAATTTCCCTGCATCTGTAATCTAGACGCGCACGCGAGGAATTATGTTCGGCTCTCATTGCGCATGGAATAATGTGTGGTTCAATTTCTTTCGTGCTCATTTCATTGGGGGGAGATACATAGAAAGAGTTCCCTACGTTTGTTCCCTAAGGGGGATGAATGTCCGAACGGGAGGGGGACATTGCAAAACGATACGGACAAGCCGGAAACGGACGGAGGAAAAATTCTCTGTGGTCCTCGAACTTGAGCCGAATGCCTAAATTTCACCGGTCCGAGACGCTCGAGGACTAGGAGTGCCTCCAAAGTGGTCCAAAGCGTTCAGATTTCGTGAGAACAAGACAACCCTTTTCGTGCATCGACTTGAGGTACGCGTGGTATATATTTCACGATCCAACCATGGCAGAGTCTGGGAGCTATCACAGAGATTTTTTCTGGCTTAGCTTTTGGTCGCTCATTAGTTTCTAACGTCTGCCACCAACATTCCACCTTCTCTCTTATCTTTCGTTGAATGCTCGTTTATCATCCCCAGATACCATGGACAAGATTCGACAAGGTAGTTGTCCCAAAAAACCCTAAATCCACGATGCCTGTCAATTCAGTCCTAAACTTTTATGATTTGCCAGTTTAGACATAAACCTTCGGACCATTTGCCATTGTAATCTTTCCGACCAATTTTGATCGGAAATCGCTGACACGGTGATCACGCTAGGTAGGACGATTGACATCCACGTCGGTAATTTTTTCGGTCAAAAATGGGCCGGGAGGATTACATTGGCAAATAGGAAAAAAATTTGTGATTAAATTGGTAAAATCGAAAAGTTTAGGACTGAATTGGCCACCGTACAACAGGTTTAGGACTTTTTTGATAATTTTCCCCGGTTTGACATATGAACAATCGCTTTGACCATAAGTTTGTGTGGCATTCGATGGCACGGGATCGGATCTACGCCGTACGTCTAAACTGTACCCACAAGTTCTCTCGTTCCTTGAATTGTTCATGCAATTTGACGTGGTTAGTCAGCTCGGTCGATAGTTTTCGTGAATACGAAGACCTAGTCCATTGGTTCCTTTACTAGAGTTGGTTAGACTCTCCATTATCAGGCTTGGAATAGACTCCCAAAAGGTTGTTAAAAAATGAACTTTTGAGTCCTTTACAAGATATAAACGCTAGATCGATACTATCATGTGGAGTATCAAGTGGACGACTCGAAGGTGGTAATATTCAAGTGATGCTCCATAGTCATTCAATCTGAGATTTGCGACAAGCTCTTTCCCTTCATTTCGATAAATGAATGTTGGTGTGAGGATATTTACGGTCGATAAGTTTCCCGTTCGAAACAAATGACATGAACGTGTGAAATAATGGTTTTGACAATGCGATAATCTAATTTTACTTGCTCGATTTTGTGAATAGACGCACATCGACGCTAAAATACGGCCTCGCCGGTCGCTTAGTCGCATTAGACGCTCCGACCGCAATAAAATCAATCGAAAGTTTAGATAAATTGAACAACGGGTGCGTGCTAGAAGAAATCGAGTGGATGAGAAAATCTGTTCTCATGAATCATTTTAGCCAAGCTGTTAAGAGAGTCAAAGTCTACAACTTTTTTTGCCTGACTAGTTAAATTTATTTGAGATTAATCCAAACCCTAGCATGCCACAATTCCATCCACAACTTTAACTGGTCATCCTCATCTTGATCACAAGGTACAAAACCATTTCCCCAATCTAGGCAGAGGACTCAATCCCCTAACCCTAAGTAACAATAGGTGACGGCTTGCAAATTGTCCCACTCGTTAGTGGGACTAAGGTCATTGGGTCACTGTACAAAGTACAATAGTCGTCTCGTAAACCGGTCTCTTTATTACCATCATTATCGTTATCATTATTCGTGCGTGCGATTGTCGTCCCATCTCCAACGACGGCTCACGGAAGCACTCAACGAAGCGTTTGGGACAGTCATATTTGAACATTTTCCCGACATTACATTCAATGTTATCTCCGAAGAATGGGAAGACAGGGTAGCGTCGGCGTCCTTTTGCTTTGAGGTCTCCCTCGTTGCGTCATTCATTCCATTCTAGAGACGGAAAGAGATCGGCTCCGGCCCAACGAATGCACAGCTGAGGAGCAGAGCAGCCCTAACTAATCGCCTACCCGAACCTATAAAAATTGACGGGTTAAGAATATTCAATTTTTTTAGGGAAAGAAGCCGTAAAAAGTTTTTAAATTATACCCACCGGACACATTTACCGTAAACTTTTTCTTATGACACCATTAACACATTCACCTCTCAAACTTTTTTCTGTGAAGCCAAAAATCACAAATTTGTACTTTGTGATATATTCATCCCAAACTTATCCGTCAAAATTCCGTTAATGAACGGCGCTAAAAATCTTACGTGGTTGCACTCATGTGAGAAAAATATGTTAACTCGTCGTATGTTTTTTTTTTCTCTTTCATTTTCCTTTTTTTTTTAACTTCCTCCATTGTTTTCTTTCTTAGTTTAGGGACGGTGAGGACAATAGCGATGATAACAGTAAGGGCGGCGGCAGCAGCAAGGGCTGTGGTAAAGGCGAAGGCGGAAGAAATAAAAAATCTTAACTAAGGGTAAATGTGTCACAAAATTTGAGATTTTTGGTGTCACAAAAAAGTTTAGAGTAAATATGTCACATATATACAATTTTAAGATTTTTTGTGACACGAAAAAAGTTTTGAGTAATTGTATCACACGGCTACAAATTTGGGGCAAATTTGTTACACACACATATAAGTTTGAGATTTTTGGCATCACAAAAGATAGATCGAAGTAAATGTGTCACGATGGACATAATTTAGGGTATTTGGTAACTTTTTACCCTTCATTTAAAAAAAAGATTCAAATTTCGTGTCCACCCTCGTGATTACAAATTTATAAGTAGCTCCATTCAAGGGTTAATTTGGCTATCGAGTGGTAATCGAATTGATCTAATGAATTGTCGACGACGACACGTTAGTTATCCAGTCACCGCAAAGATAAATTATACGTGCAAAGCTAATTTTATAAATTAGACTTTATTATGTTCATCATCTCTCAGACAGACTAGAACTGATGATGGGAGTAACAACACATCCTGGGGAGTGTGGTAGATATGGGTAAAAGATTTGATGCGGGAAGATAGAATCGTAGATTAGGGTTCTTAGCTTTTCTAGGAGTGAAACCAGCGCGAGAAAGATTTGCTTTGGAACTTCTCTCGAAAGTTCAAATCAGATCATCAAGAACAGTGCACGCGAATGAGTTTTTTAAGCAAAAAAAAAAAAAGGGAAAAGAAAAGAGAGCTTCTCGTCCTTAAATGAACCTCCCAACTTCCCCTGTTTCCGCTCTTCATTGGTAAAATCACAGAAGCAGAGTAAATATTACATGCCCACCGGCGCGCCGTTTCCACTTTCTTTGCTTGCACTCTTCTCCAATTCCATCACTCTCTCTCTGTCTCTCTCTCATGGAACTATTGGTATAAAAGCCTGACAAAAGCCTTAGCTGTCTCTGCTCTGTTCTCGAGTCTCTCGACCCTGTCTTCGTCTTCAGAAACAGAGAAGAAACTTTTGCTTGAGAAAAGATGGTGACCTTCGTTACTAGATTTTCAATATTTTGAGTTCTTTCGAATTTTTGGAGGATCTTGTGAGATGGGTCATTGAATTTTCCATGTGGGTGTTGTGCCCTTCTTTCTTTCTTTTTTTGGGTCAGGTCGGTGGTGGTGGTGGTGGTGGGGGTGGTGGGGGTTCAAATATTCCCCGGTGGCTCCGAATTCTCCTCGGAGAGAAGTTCTTCGATCCGTGCGGTGTTCACGACTGTGTGAAGAAGAACGAGAAGAACACGTTTTGCTTGGATTGCTGCGTCAGCATTTGCCCTCATTGCTTGCCTCCTCATCGCCATCACCATCTCTTGCAGGTTCGCATCTCCACCCAAAATTCACCCTTTTTACTACTAAAACAGCGTGTCTTGAATTTTGCTTCAATTCATCATTTCTTTGTGATTTTTTCTCAGATAAGGAGGTATGTGTACCACGATGTCATTCGCTTGGATGATGCGCAGAAACTACTCAACTGTTCCCTCGTCCAAGTAATATCAGAGTCTCTGCGCAGACGCGTGCCCCTAAAATATGCTACCGTTCTTGTTTTTTTCCAATTGAACTTATTTTGATGAATGTATCGTTTTGATAAACAGCCATACACAACAAACAGCGCGAAAGTGGTGTTCTTGAACCAGAGGCCAATGTCTCGGCCATTCAGAGGCTTGGGCAACTTCTGCGTCACTTGTGACCGAAGCCTCCAAGAAGGCTTCCTCTTCTGCTCTCTCTCATGCAAGGTCCAATCCCATTCTTACTAAAACTGAAATTGAATTACTCGAGCTCGACCCCGATTATCCTCGAGCTACTTGGAACTCGAGACGAATCGAGTTCGGTTCGAGTAATGCACGAATTAAGCTCCTGAGCAGCTCGACTCTGTTCAGAACTTAGTTTGGATTAGCTATTTCTTCTTTCTTGGTCGAGTTTCATCTTTCATCCTAAAAATGCAGGTCCACCACCGAATGACCAAAAAAATTGGCCTCGAGAAACGGCTCCAAAACCACAGCTGTGAGCCCCTTCCATCACTGAACAAACCATCCAACGAGGGATTCCCGGAGCTCGAAGATGGACACGTCACCCTCGACTCGGTCCTCGATTTGCCCGTCTCGCCGCCCGCGTCCCCCGACTCAACCCCCAGCACTGAGTTCGTCAGGAGGAAGCGCAGCCGCCCGGTCCCGATGACCCGGGTGACGGGTCGGCTCAGGTGCCTGCCGGCGACGGACGTGGCCGGCTTCGTTAACCGGCGGAAGGGCGTCCCTCACCGGTCGCCCCTGCACTGACCACGTGGCGGGAGACGACTGGGCACGCCCTCCTGACGGATTTCGGCGATCTGACAAGAAACACACCGGCTTCTCTTTTTGTTTTCTTCTCTTTTGTAAAGTGATTATCATCATTGTACATATGTATGCGTGCATGGTTGCATCTGCCGGTGTCAATTAAACGTTGCGAATTAACCCCGTCAGTTTACCATAACTAGCTAGACAGCATTTCGTGTGGTCTTATGTAGGCTGCTGAATCATATCTCTATCCTTTGAACTTTGATCTGTTGGATTTCGTCTGTACAAATGTGTTCAATGCGGAAGACAAAGGGTATCGAAGAGCAGCAACTGTTTTAAATGCGATTCGATGGCCAGCTTGCCGGTGATTTCGCGGGGACTGACTGACTCTTCGCCGCACTGCGCATGAAAAAGTTGAATTTTGGAAACTGGGGGAGAGAGAAAATAATGCGGTTGCCAATAATTTCGCCCCAAATTGAATGACTCCCTCTTTTTTCGGAGTGGATTACTTGCTGATAATAATGGTGTTCATATAATTCAAGGGGCAGGCTCGAAAAGTTCTTTTGGGGCAACATAGTGGGGTCAATTTTGCGACTTGCCAAATGATGGGATGAACGGGGATCGATCGCGCAATCTACAGTGCCTAGTTGAGACTTCGATCACATGCCGAGCTCATTATAGTGTTCTTTTGTTGTCATACATAAGCTTTGATTAGTATTGTAATAGAAACTTGTTTTGAAAGGAGGAACAGAGTTTTGTGAAGAAAGCATGTTTGTTTCCAAATGGATAGTTAAGCTAAAACATCCCACGTAATTCCGAGATTTATATCTTAATTTGGCTTATTAGATTAGTAAAAAATAGTGTCCATACTGTGAGTAGAATTCTTCTTTACACATACAACCCTGTTCACTATTGATTTGAGAGTTACAACTATCCACTCTTCTAGACGAACGGTGGCCGACGCCACATGTGCAAAATATATTCTACATTGGCGGTGTACATTATATTATATTATAATCACTCATAAATCCACCAGTAATTGGGTGGCAGAAAGCTCTCCTATTTGGCACATTTCCTTTCAATTGAAACTTCAAGTATTGACAAACACAAGAGAGTGAAAGAGAGAGGTTGACATTGAATGGCTTGTGGAAACTGAAGATTTGGAGGGAAACGAGTGCTGGAGAAACAACAGCTGGGAGTGACCTGTGAAGGCTGTGGGGCGACCAAGAATCCCTAAATCTGGATCTTGCGGGCCTCAGATTGGGACTGATAAATGGGACCCCAAGACGCACAAAAACAATAGGCATGGCCCCCATATCAAACCTGGAGAACACCACCTGAAAAATACAGAACTGCATCAGGCATCACCTCTCCCCCCACTCTCCTTTTGTTTCTTTCCCCTGCCCCAATTAAGATTGGTTTTACAATATTAACCCGTGAGCCCGGCCGACGTGGCAGACTGTTATCGACCGTTGAACACCGCCGACCTACTTAGAAACCCGTTTGTCCGGCCCGTTAGGATCACGTGTTACACCCCATTATGTAAACACTAAACCGGTCTCAGTACGACTAGCCGGGGCACGCCACCCTGCTTGCCCCCCAACATGACAACATGGGAAAACTCTAGAGGGCATTCAATTTTTTTGGCTCCTCCTGGCCACTCCTTCCTCCTCACACACCTGGTTCTCGGCAGAGCCAGAAAAAACAGAGCCTTTGAATGCCTGCCCCCCAACGAGGCGGAGAAGAAGAAGACAGAACCCCTGTGCCTGCACCCACTTCTGGTGGATGTGATTCAATTCAGGTGCGAACTTAGGAAGACGAGGAAAACATTAAAAATCTAAGGGTGGGGGGAAGATTACCAAAATAGTATTAAACCTATTGCAATTGTGCCAATTAAATCCTAAATCTTTTACATTTATGCAAATTCAATCTATCCGGTCAATTTTTGCCGGCCGGCGCTGACGTGAACGCCGACCGGCACCGGACGTCCAGCTGATGCTGACGTGGCACTTTTTAAATATTTTTTCCATTTATTTATTTATTTATTTCCTTTCTCCATTATTTTTTCTTTCTTTCTTTCTTCCCCAGGGGCTAAGGCCGACAAGGCCACTAGTGGTGCTCGCCCTCGCCGGCACTGGCGAGGGCAAGGCCGTCGCGGGCGAAGTGGCAAGGCTCGACCTCACTGTCGCTGGGCAAGGGCTAGCCTCGCCATGGTTGGGCGACCTCGCCATGGCCAGGCGAGGCTCGACTTCGCCTGCGATGGCCTTGCTAGGCAAGGGCAAGCCTCACCAATGGTCAACGAGGGGAAAAAGGAAAAGAGAAAGGGAAAAAAAGGAAAAAAATAAAAATATTAAAATAATTGCCACGTCATTATCGGCCGAACGTCCGATGCCGGTAGTCAAAATTGACCAAATTGATTGAATTGGCACAAATACAAAAAGTTTAGGACTGAATTGACAAAAAAAAAACTTTAAGATTGAATTGGCATAATTGCAATAACTTTAGGACTGATTTGGTAATTTTCCTAAGGTTGGGGGATGTTTTTGGTACTTTATTTTCCTTTTTTGGGGGGTGATTTTCTTCCTTTAATTGTGTTGGTTTTGGTGGTTCATATCATATGTACTTTGTTCTTCATAAATAATGGTAGACATTTGGACATGCCGTAATTTAATTTTTTTGTCACGTTGGGGTGTCGAGGGTGCCGGAAACTTAGGTGAGCCAATGCTTCGTACGGCTTTTTAATAATGGGTTTATAAGCTTTTAATTAATGCCAACTCGAAACAATTATGTGCACGAAATAAAGCTGCTACCGACTTAATTTCAAAGGAGCATCTATATATTTTTCCAATTTCTTTTTTTAAAACGAATTTCGGTCGAGATTATGGCTCTATTTGTTTCACAGAAAACAAATGATTTGGAAAATATCTTCTTAAAAATGATCGTTTATGTCACTTGAAATTATGAGTCGGTGTAAAACGTTTTTATTATCTATAACAATTTATGTCTAAACTTTTTCACAAATAATAAAATATATTTTTCGTCTGTTTATTTTGAAAAGCGATATGAGCTATTATTTTGGTCATGAAGCTAACGCAAGCAGCAAGCATTAGCAACAAGGCAACATAATTCATGTAGGGACGGAAATTTAGATGTGTGTGTGTGTGTATATATAAAGGAGCTGCATGTTGAAAAACAAGCACCAGTGGTCTAGTGGTAGAATAGTACCCTGCCACGGTACCGACCGGGAATACAAGAAGGGCTGTGACAACCTACGATTGTGATCGCTAACGGATTCATCCTAGGATCAAATATCTCGCAAAACCCTAAGCTTCTTCTTTCTTTGCCCTTTTTGCGATTCAGGGTGGTGTAGGCAGCGGAGGAAGGGGCAGAGTCGTGGGATGTAAATCTATCTGAGATGGTTTTTTTTAGTATATTTTAAATTTGCTAAATACTATATAGTTAAAAAAAGAGGTTAATACCATTGAAAAACCCCAAACTGATACACCTGCGACAAATTTACACTCCGTTACTTTCCATTAAATTTTTCTGTCGAATTGCTAAGTTGGACGACACGTGGTAGTTGACAGGTGTACCAGTTTAGGGTTTTACCCTTCCGTTTGTCATAGGTTTACCAATTTGTGATTTTTCATGGTATTAATATAATTTAATGGAGGGTAAATTTGTCATAAGTGTACAAGTTTTGGATTTTTAGTGGTCAAAAAATTAGTTTGAGGTAAATTTATCACAGGTGTAGGGGTTTTTGGTGGTCAAAAAATTAATTCGGGGTAAATTTGTCACAGGTGTACCAATTTGGGGTTTTCTGTGGTATTAACCCTAAAAAAATTTGAGTTACATGGGTGCGTTTGGATTACGTTTGGGTTGGGTTGGGTATGGATCATCTAAATTGTTTAGAATATAAATGGGTTAATATGAGTTAAATTTGTGAATTTGGGTTAAACCCATTAACGACCCATCCAAACCCAATCCAACCCACCCATTTGACACCTCTAATGTCAATAAAACTCAACCACATCTAACTGGTTGCGCAAGAGTCCCGAGATGTTTTTTTTAATATATTTTAAATTTGCTAAATACTAAATTGTTAGAAAAAAAATGAGTTATATGGGTGGATTTGGATTGGATATGGGTTGGGTTAAGTTGGGTTGGGTATGGGTCATATAAGTTGTCTAAACCCAATCCAACCCACCCATTTGACATCTCTAATGTCAATAAAACTCGACCACATCTAACTAATTGTGCAAGAGTTCTAAGCCCTGCTTAGAAAAGAAAAAGAAAAGAAAAGAAAAAATAATTAAAAGGAGTGCATGGAGGAGAACGTATTTGGTTTGGGTGAAAGAAACAGGAGGGAAAAGAGGAAATCATTTCCCCTATTTTTTAAGGTGTTTTTTCATTGACGGAATATGTTTTTATTGACTCATTTATTTTCCGTAAACCGAACACTGGAAAATCCGAAAAACAATTTCCTCAAAGTTATTTTTCGCGAAACGAACGGAGCCTTAATTTTTTGTCACGCCAGGGTGTTGAGGTGTGTCGTATTAGGTGAACTAGTGCTTCGCATGGCTTTTTAATGATGGATTTATAAGCTTTTAATTAACACAACGTGGAATAATTATGTGCACGAAACAAGCTGCTACCGACTTAATTTCAAAGGAGCATATGTATATTTTTCCAATTTCAATATTTTTAAAATGAATTTCGATAGAGATTATGGCTTTATTTGTTCCGCAAAAAATGAATGATAAAAGTGATTGCTTGTATCACTTAAAATTGTAAGTCGATATGAAACGTTTTCATTACCATTGATAATTTATGTAAGCGATATAAGTTATCGTTTTTAGAAAAAAATATTTTTAAAATTATTTATTTTCCGCAAAATAACGGAGCTTATAGATTGACAGAGGGTTGCTTGGTCATGAGGTTAACGCGAGCAGCGAAGCAGCAGTGAGGAAGGAATATACGTGATGTAAGGACAGAAATTTAGATAAGAGGTGCATGTTAAACAACAAGCAGTAGTGGTCTAGTGGTCGAATAGTACCCTGCCACGATACAGACGCGTAATCGATTCCCAACTGGTGCATCTGAGGAGCCGTGACAACCTGCAATCGTGATTGTTGATTCCATCAAGCCATCCGATCCACCTGAGGGTCATCTCCATCGCAAACCCCCGAGCTTCCTTCTTTTCCCTGTTTTTTGCGTTCTCTT